CCCCAAAACCCCAAAACCCCAAAACCCCATTATATCATAATTATATTGAAGCATATAAATGAACAAGATAGTACACAACACAGCTAATAGTCCAACTTACTGCTCTAATTTCTCCCCATTGACTACCAACAAGACTTTCCAACAGAAGAAAATCTTGCCTAAGATCGGCAAGAGGAGTCTGAGGTCTCGATTTGTAAGCATTTCAGGAGGTTATTTAAACTTGAGAAATATTACGTGAAGAATAACTTATTAACAAACAACTCTTTGACTTATACATTGGGTGACTACATCCTGAGATTAATCTCAGTGATGCATAACAAGTTTAGATCTAAAAATAGTCGGTTTGGATTCTTATTAAAAACATAGTTTAATACATAGCTTCAGATGCTTATTGTCACTGATCCTTATAAATTTCTGAATCAACGCTTCAACTTCTGAGTGTTAACATCGGATGGGTGTTATTTATTAGCTAATTTTGGCCTCTCTTGTTATGTCTCAATATTTTATAGAATACCTTCGTCAAAGAGAACTCTAGAAATAAGGCTGATATGAAATTTATGCCACAGTCAAAGAATAAGAAACTCTTCGATGCACTTCAGAAAAACGTGCATGGCAAGCTTGCTGCCTTTCCTAAAGGTCTCAGACAGAATTTCAACAGGAAGCTAAGCAAGAACCATAATATTTTTGAGAATCCTTATTTTCTAACTGTGCTACTAGCAAAGTTGAAATCCTAAAAAGATTAAAAATACGTTTACAAGGCAGACAACTCTGGCATCTAAAGGAACTTCTAAAAGAACCTCGAACTATTCAAAAGCAACTTCGAAATTTTCTAGCAGAAATCCGTCCAGAACTCGGAGAGGTGGTGTAAGGCTTTGAAACCTCAAAAAGATCTTTATTTTTAGTGAGAAGTATTCTGGATGATTACCTCAAAGAAGTTACACTCAATCCTGATACTTTTAAGTTTTCTCCCCAAATGAGCAAAATATTAATATATGCCACCTCTAGGTGTGTTTTAACCAAAATGTCGAATAAACTTGTGAGGTTATTAACTTCTTATTTAGCAAAGAATGTTCAGCCCTGGAATTATTCGAAAGAAAGAGATCACACCTCCTAATAGGACTGCTTATAAATCACATAGTAACAGGAGAAAGGGTATAACTCCTCCAAAGAGAAGGATTATCAGCCCTAAGATTGCAGTTAGGAAGGAGATTACTCCACCACCGAAGAAGAAGATCAGGAGCCCTAGACCCACAGATATTTGCTTTATACAGAACCAGTCTCCTGTTAACATGAAGTATGAAGTGTTTTACAAAAGGAAAGATCAGAAGCCCACCTGGAGATACTGAAAAATTAACGATAATTCCAACATAGCTGTAAGTCGTCCTAAATTCAGCACCTTCTTCTCCCTTATTATTCTGATTCTAGTGAATTTATCTTTGCAGATCTGGGGCTTCCTAGACCTGCAGATTTAGCGCCTAGATGTGCTATGTCTTGGAATAGCACTTCTGCTATATTCCCAACTGGACTATTTAGATTTGGGGTGCTGAAAACTTTCTGAAAAAATTGTATTTAAATAAAATTATTTTCCCTGGTTGAGTTAGCAATAGAAATTTTTAAGAATTTGGTCGATGGCTTTGAGTATAGGCAGCAAATCTGCCAACTGGGATAGGTAGATAGGTGAAATTTAGATTAGCACAAATTGAGTTATGTTTTATAAAAGAAGATTTTAAAAATTTTACACCATTTTGGAATCAGAAATAACTTGTTCTCTTTATAGCCAGATCTAGATATGAGATCAGCAGCATCTCCGAATCTTCAGATTCCAATGAAGAAGCAAAAGGAGGAGAAAAAACCAAAGAAACCTCAAATGAGGAGCACGACTAAAATTATTTATGAATACCTTCATGACTTGACTGAAAATGAGGTCACCGAAGATGAGAACCAAACACCTCAACTAAAAGATTCTCAAGTTTTTTATAATCTTACTCGTAAAAGTCCTGCATCTTCAAGTTGCTCTGTAAGCTCTGCTAGAAGAAGAACAAAAGGTAAGAGCCAGTTTCACAATGCAAGAAAAGAAGTAAACTCTTCAGAAAGTATCTCGGGCAGCAGTCAGCTAAGTAAGGAAGACATAGATGTGTTCTGATTTAATTACCCAAAATCAAGTAAAGATCTCTAAACTCCATTTTTATAATTCTACATCTCTTAATAGCCGAGGGGTTTTGGGGTTTTGGGGTTTTGGGGTTTTGGGGTTTTGGGG